TCTGCAAGTTAATGGATTGCTTTGACGTTTTTATCACATCATTCATCTTCTAGTTGTTTCTGAAGAGCCTATGATTTGTGATTTTCTTCATGGGAAAAGATTCCCATCTAATTTCTCCACTTAGTAATGTACAAAATACTTAGAAATACTGTATTAGTTCCTTGACGTTTTGTAGTAGGTTCGCAGTTTACAGGAACTGCTGAAAAGAAAATGAAGAAGGACCTTTTACTAGCATGTTATTACAGGATGAAGTCATCAATTTCTGCTCATGTTCAGTGAAATACTTAATTTGTGCTTTGAGCCTATGCTTAAAGACTTTGGTAATTTTGGATCTGGCTCACAAGTATAGAATATCTTCTCTAAATGTCTTTGAGACACATTTTCAAAGGATAATGATAGACCTTATATAGTACTTTTGTCATAGATCCCAAAGTGCTTCGTAATGGGGGCCCAGAGCAATACTGTCGTTCTACGGTTGCTTTGCCTCAATTTCCTTCTACAATGTGCATATTTAATTTCTCTCCAGTATGGGCTGGAATAAAAATGGCATTGTAAGAAAAAGCAACAAAAAGCAACAAAAAGAAACTACTCAGGAAAAAAACTTAGTAGAGTTAAGACATGTGATTTGTACTCTTGAAGAAGTGGATTAAGTAGTAGGAACACAGTAGAGCACTTTCCAAGAGGAAAGTAAATTTAGACTGATAAATTTTTAGAATTTCATTCAGTATATTAGTAGAAGGTTGGTAAATAGCAGAAGCTCAAAATAACAAATGACTTCACTTGGGCCACAGTAGAGAGTGCTGGGATGAATTTTTGTTTATTTTGTATCACAGCTGTTCAGTGAAGTGTCTTGGTGAAACTCAGGAAGACTTTTTCCTACTTACCGATTGCAAGCTAGTGCCCATTAGGAAGCTATGTCTATGGTTGTCGCAGTCATCCATGAGGCAATATGGGATCGCAGTGGCCTCTGCATTTGGGAGTGCTGGGCGAGCATACAGATCTCAAATACTAGTTTTTTTCTGGGCAGCTGAATGACAATTTTGATTAGAGGTCCATAGTGCAAAAGAAAGAATGGAAATGCCAGCTTTTCAGAAAGGAATAGCAAATCATTGATTTTGATGAACAGAAGTTGACTCACATTTTCAGTGCCATCTTCAGTTCGAATTATTCCACTGCAAAATCAAAATGAAAACAAAATTAAGATGTAGAGAAAGAATTTAATGTGAGACGAGTTTGAAAAGATTAGACTGTTTATGCATATGTATAACCTGAAGGTTATAAAGAAGAATATTTTGATGATTTTATTTGTCTTTTCTCAAAATAAAAGAAAAAACAAAGGAAACACTGAATACGTTGGAATTGGAAATCATACCAAATGTAATATTTAAGGATAATAATTAACCGTGGAAGTCTCCAAATGTAGTAAAGTATGCACTATAGAGAGAATGAGTTCTGGGTAGTTTTTTAAGCAGGTTTTTCTATATGTAATAAAACTATCTCCCGATGTGGTAGTTCTGTCCATTTCAGTAAATAAGCCAAACATCTACTGTAGCAGTTAGGGAGGAGCTTCCTCAAAACCATGTTTTTTCATGATTTTCCATCAGATTTTACAGTTTTTCTGTAGCATCTGATCCAGTCACTGCTGAGACAAGGTCTCAGAGCAGCTGAATAGCGATCTGATGCAGTTTGACATTTTCTCTCCCTGTGATGATGATGGTCATTTCTATTGTCTCTTGAAAGCTAAACATATCAGTATGTATAGAAGAAGGGGTAGGGAGAAACTCCACAGAAGATATTAAAAAAATTGGGATCGCTTATACGGTAGTAAATGAAAAGGTTTTGATGAAATATATAGAGAGTTAATGTTAGCTAAGTGTGTGCTTCTGTTCATCATTTGTTTCAATAGGAGAGGCAGGTATAAGTCAGTAAAAATACAGATTAAGTGTTTTTTGCAACTTCATGCAGATACATCACTGAAGCCACGAGCTTTGTAGGAATACAGAAAAAAATATTTGTATAATAGGGATTTAAATAAAGATTTTTGATTTAAAGAAAAACCATCATGCTTCAAGCAAAAATTGACCTCTTATTGGTGAGGCTTAGGAAGAAACTTCCCTGATACACTTGTTTGTTTTAGGAGGTTGTCTGACTTTGGTTAATTTTCTCAGTATCTCATAGTGCCTATTATTAGGGAGAAGATTCCTGACTAAGACAGACCAGCAGTTTGGTTGAGCTTGGGCATATCCATTTTTCTATTCTGAGCTAATCTAATTTTCTGCTGGTACTGTGTGTAACTCAATTCAAAGCTAAAATGTTTTTAAAAGTAGTGGCACATCCTCGAGCCAGGTCCTTGACCTGAATTTCATAGTATAATTCATGTTTCATGGAGTCAGTACATTGTGTCCAGATTGAACAGCCAGTGCTCCAGGGCGGAAAAGACCAACCAAAGACAATCAGCAAAACCTTAGGCCGAATACTAAGATACAACTCCCGGTAACGATAATGAGGCAAGGCTTACGTATATAGCAGTAAAGTACATGAGTGATCAGTTCTGCATATCCTATTTTCAGTTTGTGGCAGCAGGGCAACTGACTGTTTTACTGTAATTTTATACTTTAAAGACAGCCCACCTGTGCTATCGTTTTGGGCAGCTTCGCGGGATGTTACATAGTTCTGTAACAGTATTTGGTCATTTGCACGAAGGTCCCAGGGGTTTCTGATACCGTCCTGTTCCCACAGTTTCAGGGCCTCTGCAGTCTTACAGCCTTGGGTGCCCCTGCTAGACTGCTCGCTTTTACACACAGACTTCTAAAGCTATTCACAGTTCACTCTATAGAACAATGAGATTTGAAAGTATGCATATGTGTTTGTGTATACATACGAATATGATAATTTCTTAGCTCCTTGCTATTAATATCCAGTTATGTCAATGTTATTGGTACGGGTGTCGTGGTTTAACCCCAGTTGGCAACTAAGCACCACACAGCTGCTCGCTCACCCTCCCCCCAAATTTGGAATTTAATTCTTTTTGGGTTATAGTGAGTACTTTTATGGACGAGATTGCAATACTAGTTATGCAGACGTAGTGGTAATGAGTCAGGAATTGGCACACTGTCCTCTGAGTGAGGATATTAGGGGGCATTGTGTACCAGAGGTACTTTCTTTTGGCTTAGCCGCAGATCTGACCATCTGTGGTCATAAAAGATCCTGAGAATATTTTTGTAATAACCTAGTTTAGTGACCAAATTTGATTATGAGTAATGGCATTTGAATGAACTTTCCCGAATTATTACTATTACTTCTTTCATAAAATATGCTTGGTCATGTTGTCATGTTGTCCTGTTTATATATGCAATTTTATGCATTTTAATCTGCTATTAATCATATCGAAGGTCCAAACAAAACTATTGTTGCAGGTAGTTTGCAGAGCTGTGGAACGCTCAGATCCCTTGTGAATGTTGATTGTTATAACTTTGCCTGTGTGCATAGGCAGTTCAGACGCTGCCTTGAGATGATCAAAGGTTATTGTCTGCAAACAACAGATGAATGACTTCTTCTGTCCCCTGTTACACCTCTTGGGCTTGAAGGTCACTAATCACACTCTTCTTCCAAATTTAAAAGCCTACAAGCAATTTAAACAAACAATGAGAAGTTTGGTGATCCACTGGGATCTTATCAATGTTATGAAGCATGCTGAATACATATTAAAATAAAGAGCCTGTAGTGCCCTTAGGAAATAAGTAACTGCCCTTCATTTCTGTTAGAATTCAAGATAAATTTTAAGGTGTTTGACTGTTTCACTGAAATTTGATGTATTCAATACACTGGAGGAACTATGTTGTCAATTCCTATATTAATCCTTTGAAAACTCTTGCTGGATATTTTTAATTCGCATAGAGCTAATTCATACTTCTTTTTCTTCTATTACAGCTTAGAACAATACAAACATATCTGATAAATTTTGTAACTCTATGTGATACAGGGAATATATACAGATGAGATTTAACAGAGCATGTCTTCCCTAAAATAAGACAGAGGAAAATGTTTAATAACCATCTCAAAATTATTTTTTCTAGATTATCCTTAAAATGGTAAATAACAAACTGGAGTAGGATTTGATAAACATTTGTATCCAGGGACTTCTGTCACTGATATTTTTTCATCCCTTCAGCAACACCAGCCTTATCACCTCTGTAAATCAAAACCTTTTGAATTTCTGTGATGGAAACTTGAAGTGACGTTGTGAGATATCACAGAGCCATCCCATCTACTAGCAGTTTAGATTGCTCTAAGAGGCAGGGTTTTTTTTTAAAGATGGGTGAGTGTAGAAGCCTAAAATAGAAAGCCTTTGCTCTCCTTTGCAGGCAACAAAAAAGAAGTAATTATTCCTTTGTATCTTCTGTCAGTGCCCAATAGCTATAATGAGAGAAGTATTTTGTCTGAAAAAAAAATCCCAAAACCCACAGCCCTCCTGCCCCAGCTACTGAAGTGTCATCTGACTGCAGGGCTTTACCTTGCTTACCGAAAGCCAAAGGCCCTAGCAGCTTATTCTTCAAGCTGGTAAGAGCTGGATCCCTCGCAGAGGCAGTGAACAGAGGGGCTATAAAAGCAGAAGCCTCGTTTGTGTCTAGGTCAGCAATGGAAGGGATGCAGCCATGGCTGGGTGCATTCACACAGCGGACTGCATGTGACATGCAAAAGTCAGGGAAATTATCATGTGTTCTGGCTTCCAGCAGGGAAGGGGAGACAGGCAAGTGTAAATCCCACAAGTAGCTGGTTGGGACAGTGAGCTGAAAGCATGAGGACTTAAAATGACAGGCAAAAATGGCTTCTAGGGTTATTTGCAACCACCAGAGAAAACAGAAGTTCCATGGGTAGGTATGCAGTGAAAAAGCCGCTCTCACTGACCTGGAAAAATACTGGGCAAATAGAGAACAAAGGGAAAATGTGACACAGTAGCAATACTATGTTGTTGATATCAGTGTCTCATTGTCCTATAGGTTTGAAGTTTGAGGAAATGCAAGAAAAGTTTGGGGAGGAATTCTTCAATATCTGCTTTGATGAGAATGAAAGAGTTCTTCGAGCTGTAGGTGGGACCCTTCAAGACTTCTTCAATGGCTTTGATGCTTTGCTGGAGCACATTAGAACTTCATTTGGAAGACAGGCCACCCTGGAATCCCCTTCTTTCCTATGCAAAGAGCTCCCTGAAGGCAATCTCATGCTTCATTACTTTCACCCACATCAGATTGTGGGATTTGCAATGATGGGAATGATAAAGGCAGCAGCAAAGAAGATTTACCGCTTGGACGTGGAAGTAGAACAGGTCGCTAATGATAAGTTGTGTTCAGAGGGGACGAACCCAGGTAACTGCAGCTGTCTGACTTTCCTTATCAAAGAACATGAAAATGCAAATATCACAAAAGCACTTCCACCGGGAACTTCCCAGTCCCCTTTAGACCTGAGGATTAGCATCAACACCTTCTGCAGAGCTTTCCCCTTTCACCTGATGTTTGATCCAAACATGCTGGTTCTCCAGCTTGGAGAAGGTCTTAGGAAGCAGCTCAGATGTGACACTCATAAAACTCTGAAATTCCAAGACTGCTTCGACATAGTTTCTCCTAAAATCAGTGCCACATTTGAACGAGTTCTCCTGAGATTATCTACGCCCTTTGTCATTCGGACCAAACTTGAGGATTCTGGCTCTGAAAATAAAGATAAGGTAAGAACATTAATTTGGAAGGGGATGTATGTGTATGTGTGCGATGGGAGAGGATTATTTATTCAGAGAGAAGCAGCTCAAGTCCTGTGTACTCTGGAAGGCTCACTTACGCCTTGCAAACAGGGGCTAAGTGGTATTCCCCAGCCAAGTTAATATTTTCCTAAATTATTTATAAGCTTTGCCTGTGATGTTGTAGCAAATCGTGACATTGCCATACAGAAAATTCTGTGCTGTGGATTTGAATAGTGCAGTTTAAATCAAAACGGTGAGGAATTTTAGAAAATGCCCATATCTAATCCTTAATTTCACTCCAGCTATATTATGATAACAATAATAGTTATTAAGCCATTTACTAGGGAATAGCTTTCAGTACGTTTTCTGAAACACTCTCACTGCAGGGTTCTCACTGCCACTTTATTATATCCTACTTCCCTATTTTGAAATGCTGCTTTCCTCTGTGTTTCTTCTTATCTCTCACCCTGCACTCAAGGGAACCAGAGCTGTAAGTGGTACCAAGTATAATTTATGCCAGTTTTAATGCTTTCCAGTCATTTAAATAGGCACTTGTCCTCCTACACTGCCCCTTTCCTCAGTGTTTTAGGAGAGAGCTACCTTAACTAGTGAGCCCTATGTTGAGTTCAGCCCATCCTGGGTGAGTTAGTTGAGAACACGTCTTCTAGAGCAGACCTCTCCAAAGGCTGAATGGAGTTTGTCTTACTGAATATCCTTGAATTATGGGAAAGATTTTTGGTGTGAAGTTGGGTTCCAGCTGTATGCACCAAATTACTTCTACTTAATGCTTACACTGAAAGCTTATGCATGGGTGCCTTAGAAATACTGCTGCCCTAAGTGAATGAATTACTGTTTTTCAGGGGTTTTAAGAGATAGCACCCAAGAACAATCAATCTCAATCACACTGGATACTTAGACACCTAAGTTCTGCCTATGTGTGCCGCATTTACAGTTTAGGTAGTCTGGATATAGCTTGAGAAACTCGACCTCTGTTTTGCTGCCTACACTGGGCCAGAGTTTCAGAAAGACTCCTGTGGTAGCTGCATATCGAGTTCTGGGTTCTTTTCAAAATACAGCCACTTCTGACAGCAGCAATGTTTCCAGCTCCTCTTTGGCTCTGCTCTTTGGCACCAATAAACATGTTTCTGCTGCATTTTCCCCTGGAAACAACATGTTCCCCCAAGAGAAGCAAACTAGTGCTTCTCATTTTGTATGAATTGATGTAATTCAACCTATTTAACACCAAAAGGGAGTTTATTTTTCAGAATCTGTCTTCAAAGTCACCCTAGCCTTTAATTATGAAAAGGAAATGTGTGGAAGGTTTGGAGGTGTTGGCTCTGAGCTACCTTTCGGCACAATTGTTTATCCTTTGATAGAGGCTTGTGCTGTGCTCCTTCCTCTCTCGGAGCCTGCCCAATCCTCTCAGGCACCTTCCCCTGCCCTGGGACAGAGTCACAGCCCTTCGACCATCTTCTGCTGCTTGCGGATCTGCTGGAAATCACTCTGAAGAGGAAGAAGGTTTTGGCGGGGGCGGGGGAGGGGAGAGCAGCCTTTAAAACTTTGTTTGCTATCTAATTACCAGTTAAACAAAAAAAAAACGTTCTCTTACCAGGGCAGGTTTCGTACACTTATGGCCTGCTGATAGGAGAGGTGGCAGGGAGTGGAGCTTGCTGGAGGCAGGTTTTAGCAGTCAGTTTGGGAAGCAACTCTCATTTCAAAAGCTTGTTCTGTACCACCAAGCTGTGCAGCTCTGAGTGCATCCTTGCATCATTGCTGTGGTTTGTACCAGGTGTCATTACAGGTGGGTACCGAATCGAATCAGCGGTCACCCAGGGAGAGTGACCCTATGTGTCTTAAAGTCATGTGTAGAGTCAGACCCTGAACAACAAGTGTCAGCACTAGCACTGTAGTAGCAATTCAGATTTTCTTGAGAAGCAGGTAAAAGGGAATGGCAGTAAAGGAAATCCTTTGTCTGCCAGCAGTTAGGAGAAAAATTGTGTCTTCAACAGTAAGGTGTAAATGAAAAAGGGTGATGGTGAGGTGCAGGGGGCCTGAGGTAAATGTTGTGCTGCAGGCATGGGAGTTAATTTGAGAATGTCAATTTAGCTGAAGAGGTATTTTCTTCTGACTCACCCATTTTATAAGCACTTTCCAAAAGTTTCTGTTTGTGAGTAGTTAAATGAAGCTTTGTGCGTAGTTAAACAAAGCTCAACGTGTGATGCATTTTGCTAGATATTCCCTTTTTTTCCAAAATGAAAGGTTGCACAGATTCAGAGGTTGTGGTTGTCTTGCTTACATAGATTTTGAGAGAAGTGACATGGCAATGCTGTTATGTTGTGCTCAAGTCTTTAATATCTCCTGGATAAAAAAAGTAGACTGAGCCTTGGGAACTGCATGCTGTATTACTTTCCCAGAGCTCATGTCACTCATGTAGCTCATTTTGGAATTCTTTTCGATTTGCCAACACTTGTTTGGAAGTTGAATGTTGGGCAGGTAGATCAGTGGCTGTAAGCATGACCCCGCTTAAAAGTCGGCAGTTACTGACTTAGGTATTTCCCTATTTCTCTGTCACACACCTCTATTCAGTTCATACTGGAATTGAATCCCACTTATAGCTATTTATCTTTTTTTTTAGAAAATTCTGACTCTGCAATAACCTCAGCAGTTTTCGGACTTGGTTACTTTAAATGGCAGTTGAAGGGATGTGACCCAGACAACTCTGCTGCAGTTTTGAAGCTGTTCAGATGTCTCAGTCGTTCCTCAAGAAATAAAAAATGTTTTCAAAGGCTTTGTGATGAACAGGGGACCTTTCAGCTGCTCTTCAAAACACTTTTGTCTTCATTTGAATACATAAGTTAGATATTTTTTCAGGCCTGCAGTGAGATAGACAGAACAACAAAACAGTTTTCCTTTAGTCCTGACACCAGCTCTGTGTTCAGATAAAAGTAAGCGACAAATCATGACCTTTCCCTAACTCAGCACCCAGAAGCAAATTAAAAAAAACCCCTGTCCTGACTTTCAGGGTGCTTAGCGCTTGTGCCATTTATGCAAAGGCTCATTTGTGCGCTTCGATTTACTATGATTTGAATCACTGGAATAAATGACTTGGCTTTATAACACTATCTTAATTTCTGATGTAAGGCCTGTGAGGTTTGGGTGATAGGTAGCACTTCCTGCGGAGATGTATGTACGCCTTTGCAGAAGCACAGCCTCATGCATCAATGCACCAATATCTCGGCAAAGTTCTGTCAATTTGATATGGCACCAGCTGTTCCTTGGAGCATTTCCAGGATTCCATTGTTGTAGGGACCAAACAGGAAAAAGAACTCCCCACCTGAAGAACATGGACTCTATAGCTTTAATCCCAATTTTCAACACCATCCATACTCTTGGGTCATAATTCTAATGTTTTGATGTTTGCTTGGCTGATATTTCAGTCTCCATTATGCAATGGACACATGTGGACAATGCAAGCATTTATTCCACAAAACAGTGAGCAATTGTATAAATTTATTAGGTTAGCAGTCTCACTGACTTTACCTGAACTTGTAAGTTTGTAACTAAATACACTTGTAAGTCTGTGGAGAATAAGAACCAAGTAGTACAAACTAATCCAGAATAAGACAGGATGTGGTGGTTTACTTCCATCCTTTCTTCCCTCCCTCCTTCTGTACTTCCATTTTATTTTCTGCAGTGATCAGGTTATCCACACTGATGCTTTGGGTTTTTTTCCTTGATTATTCTGCACATTCAGAATTGTCTACATGAACAATTATGACTGTCTTTAGATCAGGTTTCCAAGTATACATACAGCTCTTTAGATGTGTAAAAGCTGAATGTGATCAGACTCAGGTTTCCAGTTTTCCCACGCAGCTAAATTCTTGTTATTGTTTGTTGTTTATAGTATGGTACTACGCAGATGCTGAAGGGAGTATTAGGGCCCTGTTGCTCTACTTCTTGTACAAACATTCTGTTGTTTTTCACATTTCACACTAATTTTTATGGAGGGTTTTTTTTTTGTGTTTAACTGGAGAGCTTCACTTGCATGCAATCAGATTTTCCAAATTTTGGGTATTGTCCCTAAATAACAAGATCACAAACATTGCTGTTTCACCTCTCTAAGGAAACTCATTCTACACCTCTCTCTCTGGGAGCAATTATTTATTGCAACAATCAAAAATACATTTACTGTGGCAATTAACCATTTGGGATTAATTGCTTATAGCTTTACACATGGTTAATACAACTGTACTCCACAAGAGTTCAATGAAAGTTAGTGGAGTCACATATGGAATAAGATATAATTTAAATTGAGAGGACTGGGTCTGAACTTGCCTGCTGGAGTGGTCTAAAGCCCCAGTCAAGCCCATCCACTGAGGTTTCCTTTCCATGACAGTGCTGGCATGCAAGGGAGCTGATGGTTGCACAGTGCCATGCAGAGGGGTAGGAGCTGCCTTCCTTTAGGCACCCCACAGTCCTCGGTGATGGGTCCTCCTGGCCAAGCGGCTGTCTGGGAAGCACCACTACTCCCTCCCTGGCAGCACCTCCAGGTGTCTGCTCAAAGCAGATGGGGTGTTTGCAGCCAAGTCTCTCCCTGACTCTCTCACCTGTGCAGAAAGTGTGTTGACATGACTGTTTCAGTGTTTTACTTGTGAGCACTACTTAGACATCTGTGGTATCAACATTGCTGTCTCCCATCTGAACTTGTGCAGGACTTCCACTTTCTTGCTTTTCTAATAGAAGTCAGTTCCTCATCTCTGGGAGTCACCATTGTTTGTAAGGCAGACCGTATTTTACCATGTCTCTTTGTACATGCTATTTGTTTTCACAGAGCTCCCCAATGGATATTACCTGATTCTGCTGCTTCAGTGACTGCCTTTCTCAAGCAGCCCGGTAACTTCCCCCTCACCTTAAGGGTGAGACCTTGCACAAATCTTTCTTTTAGTTGCCACCAAGGCCACATTTCAAGTTTTCGTTGAAAGTGCATC